TCTGTCTCTATTCCCCTCTCGGTCTGTCTGGCGAGCGCACGTGCCCTATAGCGAAAACCTCCTCAAAAAAAAAAAAAAAATAGTGATAAGATTTTAAAACTTTTTCAGGGCTAACTGGTGAATTCCCACATGGCCAACCATGATTCAAGTCCCAGGCTCAGTGGCTTGAAAATCACTGGGATAAATAAATAAATAAATTTTTTTTTTTAAATAAATCTTTTTTAAAACTTTGTTATAGGATATGTGTGCTCACCAGAAAGAGATGGACAGAAGGGGGCAATGGGGGGTGGAGTGGTGGTGGTGGCGGCAGAGAAAGGCACGGCCATAACATAATTCCTTCTCCATTTCTCCTTTTAGGATTTTGGGCTCACAAACATACATGTGCCTGGCGTGTTTCTCAAGCCAACAAGTCTGGGACTCTAACTGCACTGTTGCTCACATAGGATCCAGCCACCCTAACCACTCCACCACAGAATGGTCCATGGCAACTCTTCATGCTTCAAATCCACAAGGTGAAGTTAATCGTTTGTAAAAGCATCATATTCTGAGTAACTTAACATCTCACTAACAAAAACTTTTTCCCATCACAAGCAATACCTTATAAACACAATGATACTTTATAACCCATTTCCTACCTGTGGAGGAGAACTTTGGATCACCAGGTCAACCTCAGGAATGTCCAAACCACGGGCAGCCACATTGGTTGCCACCAAAACTTTAAAACTGCCTTCTCTGAAGCCTTTCAATGTAATTTCTCTTTGTGACTGTGCAATGTCCCCATGTAAACACTGGGCATTCTATTCGAAAAAGGGTAAAAGTCAGTGTTCAGCTCATACCTCCAATTAATAACAACCTAATGTCATCAGACTGTTTTCTTTTTGCCTTGTTTTTTAATCTTGTTTTCTGGTAATTATAATTATGTACACTTGTTGCATTTTTTAAAAAGTAAACATTTTAAAAATACTTAACGTAAAGTATAAAAGTTTCTCTAATATCGACCTCTTGAAAATTATTCACTGTTAACAGTTTGGTGGATATTCATTCCAACAAATATTGTTTTAAAAATACATATACACAGTCTCTCACACTATTCACATATGCTAACACAGCAGTCTGCCCTTATCTGTGCAATATATGTTCCAAGACTCACAGTGGATACGTGAAAACATGGATAGTCATTGGGACCAGCAGATGGCGTAATGGTTACACTGCTGGACTCCCATATAGTGGACTGTGGTTTGAGTCCCAGACCTAGCAGCTTAAACTCATGCCAGGCTCATGTGTGTACATGCCTAAGAACCAAGAGGAGAATGGAGGAGAAGGGATTGCAATGTGGCCATTACCCTAGGGGGTGATTTCTTGCTTTCGATCTCTCTGTCTCTAATTTTCTAGTGAGCACATGCGCCGTATAGCAAAAACCCCTCAAAAAACAAAAAAAATCATGGATAGTCCTATTAATATATACATATATTAATAATCCTATTAATATAAGATAATCCTATTACTATACACATAACACAGTTTTTTCCTATATTACACACCTAGGATAAGGTTCAGTTTATAAAGAATAGTGATTAAGACACAGATAGCACATGGTCAATCAACTTTTTTTTTTTTTGGAGAGGTTTTTTACTATAGGGTGCACGTGCTCGCCAGACAGACAGACAGAGACAGAGAGATAGAAAGCGAGAAATCACCCCCCAGGGGGGATGGCCACGCCGCAATCCCTTCTCCTCCATTCTCCTCTCAAGATCTTGGGCACGCACGCACACGCGCCCGGCGTGAGTTTTAAGCCACTGGGTCTGGGACACGAATCGCAGTCGACTACATGGGAGTCCAGCAACATAGCCATTACACTAACTGCTAGTCCCGTGGTTAACCAACATTTGAGTTCCAGATCTGGTGGCTTGAAAATCACGACATGTGTGCATATATGTCCCAAATCGTGAGAGAAGAACAGAAGAAAAGGGATTACGGAGTGGCCATCACTACTGGGGGTGATTTCTTACTTTCTCTCTCTTTCTGTCCAGCAAGTATACACACCCTATGGCGCAAGCCTAAAAAACAAAAAGTTATCTGAAACTACAAGTACAAAATGCATTATTTACCCAGAAAAACTGAAAAAATCATCATCAAAATATATTCCAGTAAAACTAGAAATTTTTAAAGAAAAAACCTGTTTTTTTTAACATCTAGCAACAGGGCGTACGTACTTGCCTAAGACAGAGACAGGGAGAAAGTAACAAATCAACCCCTTGGGGGAAGGCCACGCCACTAGAAATGCAGGCCATGGGAAATGATAACCTTAGCCACCATGCTACCTACTGGCCCCAAGAAAAAAAAATTTTTTTGAGAGAGATTTTTGCTATAGGCCCTGTGCACTCACTGGAGAGACAGAAAGAGATGAAGAGAGACGAAGAGAAAGAAAGTGAGAAATCATCCCCCGGGAAGATGGCCATGCTGCAATCCCTTCTCCTCTTGGGATTTGGGGCATACATGCATATGTGTTCAGCATGAGTTTCAAGCCACCAAGTTTGGGACTTGAACCTCAGCTGACCATGTGGAAGCCCACTGCCTTAACCATCAGGACACCTGGTGGTTCCCCCCCAATTTTTTTTTTTGGAGAAGATTTTTCTATAGGGCGCATACGCTCGCCAGACAGACAGAGAGAGACAGAGAGACAGAAAGCGAAAAATCACCCCCCAGAAGGGATGGCCATGCCGCAATCCCTTCTCCATTCTCCTCTTGGGATCTTTGGCATGCATACACACATGCCCAGCGTGGGTTTTAAGCCACCAGGTCCGGGACACGAACCGTGGTCAACTATGTGGGAGTCCAGCGATATAGCCATTATGCTAACTGCTAGTCCCCCCCAATTTTTAAAAAATAATTATTTATTTTATATTTATTCATTCATTTATTTTTTAATTTGACCAGAGAGAGACAGAGGGTGAGAGTGAGAGAAAGAGGAAGTGAGAAAGCAAGTCATCAGATTCAGGACTCGAACCCTGGTCGGCTATGTGGGAGTGTCCAGCGCCTTAACCACCACGCCACCTGCTGGTCCCTCCCCCAAATTTTTTATAGGAAAAGAAAATCAAGAGCCAGGCAATGGTGCAGTGGTTAAATACAATGCTCTATAGGGCTGAGCAACATGGGAAGGTTCTATGTTCATGCCCAGAGACCCCCTGATTATGCCAAGCACACATGTGCCTGATCTGTGGCTGGCTGAGACTGAATGTGAACAGTGGTATCAAGACCCTGTTGAGTGCTACTGTGGCCTGTCTCTCTTACTCATGGAAGGAATAAATAAATGTAAAGAATGTATTAAAGATGGGGACTTGTACATGACTTACCACAGTTCGAGTCCTTGACCTACAGCTTACTTTCTCACTTTCCCTCTCTCTTTCTCTGTCTCTCTCTCTCTCTGGCCAAAAAAAAAAAAAAAAAAAAAAAAAAAAAGATAATAAACAAAGCTAAATAAATGTTTCTAAAAAGAATGCTTTAAAGAAAAAGGAAAAAAATCACACTAGCATCTGCTTTATTCCAAATGTAATAACATATATGAAATATTAAAAGGGACCAGTTTGTGGCATGGTGGTTATGGTTGCTGTTCCTGGACCCAGTGGCTTGAAAAATGAAAAACATGTCTGCTGGGTGCATAAGTGCACAGACCAAAATCCCAAGGGGAGAATGGTGAAGGGATTTTAGTGTGGCAATTATCCCTTTCTCATCGTGCTTGCTCATCGTCCCTTACTTCTTCTGTCTCTCTCCAGTGAGCATGCCCACCCTGCAGCAAACATAAAACAATAAATGTGCAGAGCAGTCAATCTGAGAAAATACGTGTGATCTTTACATGCATGCAGAAATGCGCTTCCATAAGCTCCTTTAGCAATGGCTATTGAGAGCATTTACATACGAAAACGCTATCTGCTTGTTGTTATCGGTTATCTTCCTGCTGTCAATACCAGATCCTGGGTACTGCAGGGAGGTATGAGGCTAAAGGAAGTTACATGTGTTTATCAGATTTTGCCCCAAAAAGATAAGAGAAATTGCATGGTGCCAGTCATTTTCACATCTTCAGACGATTCATATCCCAAAACAACTGGCTTTGCATTCCATTTCTTCTTATCCCATTTTCTGTCCTTTAAAAGAATAAACCTGGGAGCTGGCAGGTGGTGTGGTGGTTGGAGGCAATGGATTCCCACATGGCCAACTGCGGTTAGAGTCCTGGACCTAGAGGTATGCTTTCTCACTTACTTTCTCTCTCTCTCTCTCTCTCGTCAAATTAAAAAATAACAACAACAAATGGAATTAAATAAATAAATATTAACAACAACAACAAAAAAAGAATAAACGTGAAGCTGGTTCCTGGTCACAACTTCTCCAACAGAGAAGTTGGGCCCACCCAATCCTTGCTTTTCTATACTCCTATGTCTTTGTGTGTTTGCTACTTCATCTATTTCTAATCCACAGCCTTCCCCACTCAGAAAAACATGTTCAACTAAGCAGGTCTCAGCAAATACATACATACATACATACATACATACACACTTACTAAAAGAAGAAAGTGTAAACCAAGGATTTTACATATAGTCAAGTTAACGTTCATGTATAAAGTCACCTATAGGGGCCAGCAGGTGACATGGTGGTTGAGGCACTGGACTCTCATATGACCAATCACGGTTTGAGTCCGGGACCTGGTGGGGTTTTTTCTCGCTTTCTCTTGTTTTTCCTTTTTCTCTCCCTTTTTCTCTATCTCTGTATGGTGAGTATATGTGCACTATAGCAAGTTGAAAAAAATAAATAATTCTGCTAAAAAAATAAAGCTATTATCAATAGGCAATACTGCTTCCATATGCCTTCTTCAGAAATCTAAATAACAAGTCACAGACAGCAAAAATGACTAAAGAGACACTGAAATAAAGACTGATGGTACTGATTATCAGTGGATATTAATATGACAAAAAGAAATATGACAGAAAGCGAGAAATCACCCCCACCGGGGGATGGCCACGCCGTAATCCCTCCTCCTCTTTTCTCCTCTTGGGATCTTGGGCACGCAAGCACACACGCCCAGCGTGAGTTTAAGCCACCACCCGAACCGCAGTCGACTACATAGGAGTCCAGCAACACAGCCATTATGCAAACTGCTGGTCCCTGAAAATTTTTTTTTATTATTTACTTTATTTATTATTATTCAATTTGACCATCCATATATATATATTATATATTATATATATGGATTTAATATTCTAATTTACTCATTCAATAAATATTTATAATTCATTTATAACACAACTCTAAAATATTACCCTCTTAACTCACAGAATTTCATTTCATTCTAACCTTTATGTTTTCAAGATCATTTTTCAAAGCCTTAAAAAAAACTTCGGACATAAAGTGACAGAATTCTATCCTGACCTAACAGGTATAAGAGACTGGCTTTACCTTCTTTATGAATTATTTAGTGACTATCAAATATGGTCTGCAAACGTAATTATTTTTCCCATTATTTATCCCATAATTTCAATTAGAGAAAGCACGAAAAGATTTACCTGTTTTATGTGAGGATTCATGGCCATTTCAGTTACATTCTTCTTGGTCTCACAGAAAATAATAGCCCTCCCTTCAGATCCACTGTAGACTTGAAGAACATCACCAATAACTGCTGGTCTCTGAGACCAATGGCATTGGATGGCCAAATGCTTAAAGAAAACAAAAAAAAAACAACTGTTTCATTAAAAGTATTGGGGAAAAAAATCCCCTCATGTATTTTTTTCTATCTGGTCATGAACTGGCTTTCTTGAGAGACTGTAACACAGAGACTGCCTCAATCCCATTTAAAGATACACAAATTATGGAACCAGCAGATGGTGTAATGAGTATGTCACTGGACTCTCATGTAGTCAACCACAGTTCGAGTCCTAGACCTGGTGGATTAAAACACACTGGGCTGGCCGACCAGTTTGAGTTCTGGAACTGGTGGCTTCCTTTCTCACTCTCCCTCTCTCACTCAAATCTCTCTGGCTTTGTTCCTTTCTGGTCACATTAAATAAGTAAATAAATAAATGTTAAATTTAAAAAAACAAACAAACAAACAACTCACACCAGGCATGTATGTGTAAATGCCCAAAATTCCAAGAGGAGACTAGAGAAGGGACTGCAGTGGGGCCATCCCTCATGGGGGGGGTGACTTCTCGCTTTCTGTCTCTCTGGGTCTTCCTGGCCTGTCTCTGTCCCTCTGGCGAGTGCATGTGCCCAAAGCAAAAGTCTTTAAAAAAAATTTTTTTAATTATATATATATATATGTATATATATAAATTGCTATCACCAGGTGAAATTATGAACAAATTATATTCAAACAACAGAATAGTATTGGGGGGGTAAGCAGGTGTCTGATGCAATTCAGGCGGGGGAGTACTTAAAAATAATATTCAGAAATTAAAAGGAACTAACTAATGATACATGAAACAACATAGATAAATCTCAAAAACTATGCTGAGTGAATGAAGCCTTACAGAAAGAGTTTCTTATGGTATGATTACATTCATAAAAGTTCTAGGACAAACAAAACTAATCTATGACAGGGAAACAAAACCAGAACACTAGTTGTCTCTGAAGGGGGAAATGACTAGGAAGGAGCATGAGGAACTTTCTGGTTTGGTAACTTAGTAATAGTCTGGTTACACACGTGTATGAATTTTCCAAAACTAAGCAAATAGGGCCAACTCTGTAGCCTCATGGTTTAAGGGATCTAGATCTCATATGACTGACCACTCTTCAAATCCCACACCTCCTAGCTTGAAAAACATGCCAGGTGTATGTGTGTTTGTGCATGCCTAAAATGCTGACAGAATAGAGAAATGGAGAGGCAACAGTGGCAGAACCATGCCCTGTTAGGAGGCTGCTTTCTCCCTTTCCATCTTTCTGTCTCTCTGATAAGTACATGTGACCTCTGACAAAAAAAACAAAGATAAAAAAAAACTCTGGGACCAGCATATGGCGAAATGGTTACGTCGCTGGATTTCCATGTAGTCAACTGCAGTTTGAGTCCCAGACCCAATGGCTTAAACACACACCAGGCGCGTGTGCGTGCATGCCCAAGATCCTAAGAAGAGAATGGAGAAGAAATTACGGCATGGCCATCCCCCCTGGGGGTGATTTCTCACTTTGTCTGTCTCTGTCTTTCTGGGGAGCGCACACACCCTATAGCAAAAACCTCTCAAAAAAAACTAAAAAAAACACCAAACTCTAACCGAATATACACTTAAAATTTTATATTTCCCTATATATAAATCTAAAAAAAACTGTAAACATTATATGGATGAATCATAAAAATAATATGCTGAAAGAAGTCAGACACAAAAAGTCATGCATTATATGATTATACGAGAAATCCAGGCAGAAATAACCAGAGACAGAAAGTAGATTGGTGGTTCTAAGAGGCTAGGGAAAAGAAGGAATGTTGAATAGGGCCAGCAAGTGATATAGTGGTTAAGGTGCTGGACACCCAAATAGCCGATCATGGTTCGAGTCCCAACCCTGGAGGCCAGAAACTCATGCTGGGGGTGTATGCGTGCATGTCCCAAATTCAGGGAGAAGGGATTGTGATGAGGCCGTCCCTGCTCGGGTGGGAGGTGATTTCTCACTTTCCTTCTCACTGTCTCTATGTCTTCCAGGAGCATGTGCTCTGTAGCAAAAACCTTATAAAAAAAAAAAAAAGAATGGGAATAACTTAATGGCTGTGGGGTTTCCCGTCAGAGTCATAAAAATGTTTTGGAATTAGATAGAAATGATGATTATAAACTGTAAATAGGTGACATTGAGTTGTATGCTTTTTTATTCCTGATGATTTGTCTTTTTTTTTTTTTTTTTTTTTTAAGGCTTTTGCCTTAGAGTACATGTGCTCACAGGAGAGACAGACGACAGACAGAGAGAGAGAGTGAGAAATCATCCCCGAGAAGGGATGGCCACATTGTAACTCCTCCTTCACCACAGGAATTCTGGGCACACAAGCACATGTGCCTGGCATAACTTTCAAGTTACTAGGTCTGGACTTAACCAAAATCAACCACATGGGAGCGCAACACCCTAACCACCATGCCACCTGCTAGCCCATTTATCTTTTTTTAATTGACTTTTTTTTGAGAGAGAGATTTTTTGCTACGAGGCACGTGAGCTTGCTAAAGAGGCAGAAAGACAGAAAGTAAGAAATCACCCCCCCCCCCCAGGGGTAATGGCCTCATTGCAATCTCTTCTCCATTCTCCTCTCAGGATTTTGGGCACACACACACACATACACCTGGTATGAGTTTTAAGCCACTGGGTCCGGGACTCAAACTGCAGTCAACTACATGGGAGTCTGGTGATGTAAGCATCATGCCTTCTGAAGGTCCCAATCATTGTACAACTTAACAGCAAACAATATGGTTTTTTCAAAGTATATGTGCATTACTTATCTATCAACTCAAAAATATTACCATATACATCAATCATCCTCTTCAGGTCTTTCCATTGGTGTGTCTGCTAAATTTTTTTTCCCTGAGCCCACTCACCCAGTTGCATATTTTAAAATGATTAGTTTTAACTACATGTCGAGGTTTTTTTTTTTTAGAGTTTTTTTGCTATATGGTGCATATGCTCGCCAGAGAGACAGAGAGAGACAGAAAGCGAGGAATCAGTGGATGGCAATACTGCAATCTCTTCTCCTCCACAATCCTCTTGGAATTTTGGGCACGCACGCACAAGCACCCAGTGTGAGTTTTAAGCCGCTGGGTCTAGGACTTGGACAGCAGTTTGACTACATGGAGTCCAGTGATGTAACCATTACACCATCTGCTTGTCCCATAAAAAATTTTTGACTTCCACATTTAGAAAAGTTTCCTCTCCTGAAATCAAAAAACTACTCACCTATAAAAGCTTTAAATTATTTTGTGGCTTATTATTTTTAATCTTTCTTTTTAAAGAATTATTGAATTTAACCTCATTTATTATTATTATTATTATTATTATTATTTTAATTCTACCAGAGAAAGACAGAGAGGGAGAGAGAGAAATTGAGAAAGCAAGCCAACAGGTCCGGGACTCAAACTATAGCTGACCATGTGGGAGTCCAGTGCCCTTAACCACCATGCCACCTGGTGGCCCCAATATTTTTAATCTTTCAAGGATTTTTATTTTTTGGTATAGAATGTAAGATAAAGATCTAACTTTCATCATCTAAACTTAAACTATCACAATACTATTCTTTCCTAGTCAATATGAATCACCTTCTTCATCAATACCTTCAATGTGCTTCTATGTCTCCTGTCAGGACTTATCTATTCACATACCTTTTTTTCCTACTTATTTTCTTCTGCTTCTCAGTCTCAGACTATAGAAACAGCTTACTGATAAAGGATAGAGAAGAGAGATTAGGCCTGGAGAGGTACCTAAAACTTTAAGTGTACCTTCAACAAGTTTCAAAAATAAATATCAATTAACAGCTAAAATCTATCATGCTGAAAAGTTACTTACTTCCACAGTAGTTGCAGCCTTTTGAGTCATTTTTCCAACAAGATCAACCTGTTCATACCTGGATTTCATATATTTTTTTGCGACTTTGTACACCCACTGTGGGCAAGTTGCAGAAAACAGTAAAGTTTGAGGATTGTCTTCAGAATCTTAAATAAACAAAAATAATTCAATTGTTTTCATAATATCCCATGATGTATCCAGCTCTTAAAAATCCCCCTAAACTTCAAAGAAATAATAAAAATTGAAAACTTGGAGTAAATTTTTAACCTTCATACTTTGCTGGAATTCACAGAACTTACAATTTTTGGGCCAGATGTGGTGTGGTGCTGAAAGCAGCAGGATCCCACATGACTGACTGTGCGGTTCAAATCTCAGGCCCAGAGGCTTGAGAAACACACCAGGTACATGTGCATGAAACCCAAAATTTCAAAAGGAGATACAGAGAAGGGACTGTGGTATGACTATCACTGATATCCCCCCACCTCCTGCCCAGGAAGCACATGTGCCCTCTGGCAAAAAGAAGAAAAACCTTTCACCTTTCACAACTAGGTGACAATACTAAGAGAACTTTACCCAGAAGGAAGGTGAGAATTTTAAAAGGAAATATGGGGGGCCAGCAGGTAGAGTCTTGACCTGGTGGCCAGGCACATGCGCATGCATGCCCAAAAATCTCAGAAGAAGAATGGAAGAGAAGGAATTGCAACATGGCCTTCCCCAAGGGTGGGGAGGGACTTTTCACTTTCCCTCTCTTTCTGACTCTCTCTTATGAGAGCACGTGCCCTATGGCTTAATTTGGAAGAAAAAAAAAAGGAGGGGAAAGAATGAACAAAGAATCAGTAAATAAGTAACAATAATTACTGACTATAAAAAATAACACATGGGGGATCAGTAGGTGGCACGGTGGTTAAGGCACTAGACACTCTTACATGGTCAATCATGGTTAGAATCCCAGACCTGGTGGCTTGCTCTCTCATTTTCCCTCTCTCTCTCTCTCTCTCTCTCTCTCTCTCTCTCTCTGTGTGTGTGTGTGTGTGTGTGTGTGTGTGTGTGT